GTCGCCGAATGAAGAGCGTCGCCGAATGAAGAGCGTCGCCGAAGCCGTAATCGCTGTCGATCCTGATCCCCCGTAACGCTTGCGCTTCATACTGCAACATCACAGCGAAACAGGGAAGTCGGAAGCGCCGAGCGCTGATAACGGCAGGATCAGCGTCTCTTGTTACCGTAAGGTAAGATTCCGGTCACTCGGAAGCACTTTCATGTTTCCGAAAATGCAGTGCCTTTGCTCGCATGTTGAGTGGCCCTTTGCCATTCGTTGGCTGCGCGATTTTAGAGAGCCTCCCACTCCATATCTTCACTTCAGAACTGACCGGGCATGTTCTCGAGCTGGAACTTATATCATCCATCGCAAATTGCTCATGCCTTATTCGCAGTATAATGGGCTCAAGGACTGTACTACGGCCGACCACAACCACGCATCTCTTCCTCGAGTTTTGACCTTCGGCGCTGGAGCAGTTGGCACATGCTACACTTGCTTGCTACAGCAGGCTGGTTGCCAGGTTTCCGCAGTCTGTCGGTCGAATTATCACGCTGCAAAACGAGAAGGGTTCTCCCTCGATGCGGAGTTCTTTGGCAAGAATCTTCAAATCCGGCCTGATCATCTATTCCGATCTCATTCAGACCACCGTTTCGCAATACGAGAAAAATGCATCTTCGTTACCAAAAGTGGGTCCCTTAGGCGCACGGCAGCTGGCGAGGTTCGTAAGGGAAATGTCGTCTCATTTCTAGTATGCTAGAGCGCAATGTGCAGTTTTTTGGGATCAAGACTTTTGCCTACATAAGTAGTTGCTAGACTGTCACATTTGTTCGCAGATGTTCGCAGACACTTCAACTTGATCGCCGAACTGCTCGGAACTAATCACGCGTTAATCTCGGGGAATTTCTTATCAATCGCCGATTCTCCCGAAGTATGACTACTCGTTGGATCACGCCCCTTTCTCGTTCCCCCATACAGTTCTTCTGCAAGCCCCAATTATGTCTAATATTCTCTGGTATACGACCTCTTCGAACCATCTACCTGTGTTCGGCAATATGTTGTGGCCGACCCCACATCTCATCGCTGTCTGATCATTGATCCAATCCCCGAGTCGGTGCCGCAAGGAGTAGCTGCATTCGGAACGTCCGCCGCCGACGCGATTCTAGACCTAGTCCGAAGTCAAAATTACAAGGTCGACCACCTGCTAGCCACGTACGCATCCGATGGTGGACGAACCGCCATCTGGTATTTACGCATGCGACTGCTTGAAATTCAGGGTGTGGCTCCGCGAATTTGCGGCACAGAGCTGGTTCCGCAGTACACAAGTCGGTTCGAAAAGAAGTACGGAACACGTCACGGCTTCTCGACAGCCTTTGTCGAAAAGCATTCAGGATGGAATGACAATATGCGTGGGTTTACTGCAGGTGCGCGCCCTGCATCTGCCTGGCCTCTCGCCTAAAACTTATGGCTATCTTGTCGGACCGAACCTGTTCAGAGCGCTGTCAATTTGTTACGCAGCACAGTCTGCAAAACGCGGTGCTGGAATTACGCCGGAAGGCCGTCAGCTTGCATCTTCTCTTGGTAGTATCTTGTCATTGCCGCGGCACTTCAGAATACTTCCAGACCAGGGCCAGCAGTATGATCCCGTACAATCGCCTTGTATTACGGTAGCCGACTGTTTCTCGAGAATCCACGACTAGTGCTCTTGGTCCGCGTATGATGCCACTCGCGACCAAATCTTGGCATCTGGCACCGTTATAGCTACCCTTGTCCGCGAGGATGGACTTTGGAAAGCTAAGGGAGCCGTCATGCATGCCCTCATAGCTTGCTGCCCCTGCGGTCTGGTCGTGGGAGGCAATTGACGTCTGAAACGAGAGTCTTCTGCTTGCACCCGTCGATCAGACCATGCTCAGCAATTTACCTTACTGACGCCTAACGGAAGCTGGAAAATAGGACGGCCTGCGTCATGAATTCGTGCTTCTCTTCGTCCACGCGGGACAAGGTTTCGCAGATATACTCTGTCCAAAGAGTAAAGAACAATGGTATGGCTGCTGAACTCCGAGCTCAATGGTGCAGGTTTGACGACTTGGCGGCAGACGATTTCATAGAAACAGCAGTCCCATTTTGGACTCATGGGCAGCGTACAGCGGTGCTTCATTGCACTCCTCCCCCAAGCATTGCAGTAGGTAGTACTCTCTACACGGATGAGCAGCCGCTCGATTTTCAGTGTGCGGTTGGCATGTGGAGATTGCGGGCAACTCGACATCGTCATCATCGTCCTGGCTGAAGCGAACACACATGGGCATCTCAGTTATCAGTTGCGAGGCTTCCGCGTACGCCCAGGCGCGAGGATCTCTCGGACAACGGCATCAGCGGGAATTTTTGGGCAGACAGGTAGCAGCTTCCGAGTCGATTGAATAACATTGCTGAGTTGTTGCATCCTCCTTTTCTGAAACCGTCTCTTGACTTGACGCAAGATAATCCAGGGTCAGTCCGCTTTTTCCGCTTTTGGAGGGTATTCTTTACCCTCGACAACCGTCTTTGGGTCGCATTGGCAGCGATCGTCTTGCGGAGATTGGTCCATGACCTGGGAGAGAATGAGTCAGAGTGTATATGGAGACGATTTCCACTTCGGGCAGCGCTGCAAATGCCATGTTTCGACTAGCAGTAGAAGGGGAGCGTACCGACGGGATGTGTTGGCCACATCCCCACCATGAGCGCTTTTCTTTGCCGCGAGTTAGCTGGGTACCCTTAAATGTGATAGACCGCAACTCACGGCACAAATAACAAGTCGCTTTTTTACACATTATTTCCTTTGTGACGCGGCGCTGCTCCAAATGAATCTTTGAAACGAGCTCGAGATGAATTGTTGTTGATGGCAGTACGAGGGGTATGTAAATCGAACAAGGAAGTAGGAGATGTGGATAACAATGATTGCATAGCTAACGAAGGTTGCAATCGGCGAAGGCAGCATTTGTTATCGGCGACTTGTAGCCACTCAAATTCCGCATCTGTTGGAGCGGTTCATCGCCGCAACCTCGTTAGAGACCAGTCGCCGATTACCAAGTTTAGGAATTCGACTGTGCTCTGGAGACTATACGCTGTCTATGGCCACATGTCGGGATATACGTTATCGGCGTTTCCATATGATGCTGGAATGCTCGATTGGGCTTTTTACTAGGGGACTGGAAACCCAAGCAGACGAAGTGTGTCTCAGCATATCACTAGGTAGCGCTTCGATCCACCCCAAAACACGAGACCCCAAGTTGAAAGCGAAGGACAACGACATAAGCAACAGCGGTAGCCGTCAGAATGGCCCCGCCTAACGGAAATCTCGCCCAGAAAGAAGCAGGCGGCCACACAGACCTGGAGGCTAACTCCGAGGGTGGAAGACATTTGATGAACGATCTAGTGGCCAACTTCTCATGGTATGACTTGACCGTCACCGCCAAAGATCGCAGGAGTAAGAAGGTTATTGAGATCTTGTCAAATGCCCAAGGCATCGGAATCCACGGGCCGCGCTGCCGACATCGATAAGATCCAGCTTCAAAGACCCGGCATGTGGCAAGTCTTCTTCGTGCTTCTCCAACGCGCTTGGGTCAAGGCGATCCGGGATGCCATGGCGTATGGCATTCGGATCGTCATGTATTTCGGCCTCGCCATCTTGATGGGGACCGTCTTCTTCCGCTTTGGTGACAACCAAAAGTACATTCAACCATTCACAAATGCTTTGTTCTTCGGAGGAGCGTTCATGTCCTTTATGGCCGTCGCTTACGTTCCTGCTTTCCTGGAGGACCGCGCTACATTCATCGCCGAACGAGCAAATGGACTAGTGGATGGCTTTCTTTTTACAACCGCCAACTTTGTCATTTGACTCCCCTTCCTCTACATCATCGCATTGATGTTTTCGGTGGTGACGTATTTCTTGATCGGTTTCAGACAAACGGCCAGTGGCTTTCGGGTCTACCCGGCTTGGATATTTTTGGATCTTCTGGCCGCCGAGTCCCTCGTCTTCTTCACGACATCAATCTTTCTCGTTTTTGTTGTTGCGCTAGCCGTTACCGCGTTCGCAAATAGCCTATAGATGTGCGTTGACGGATTCCTTGTGCCGATGAGCATCCTCAACCCATTCTGGAGATACATCTTTCATTATATTGACTATCAAGCCTATGTTTTTCAGGGCATGATGGTCAACCAATTCAAGGATGGCGTTTATGAGTGCGACCGCGTTGGAAACAGGTACTCCTGTCAATATCCAAGCCCTTTGAACACACAAGTGAAAATTGAAGGAGTCGCCATATTGAAGGACTTCAAAATCAGGCGGAACCAGGAAGGAGAATCGTAGTCATCATCTTTATTTACAGATTACTTGGGTATTTGGTTCTGCGATGGCAACGATGAGAAACTATGCACAGGCGAATGCGAAAAGCCGTCACAGATATCATTCGATTATCTTCGTCAGTTGGACATATGCTAGCTCATTGACGCTCAGAGTGTGACACTCGATTCACTTTGTTCCATAAGGCGGTTCATTTCTTCCGGCGAGAACAGGTCAGACCAGGTCAGGTTGGACCACACATCTTCCTCGAGCCATAGGACTCGAAAATCATTTCGCCTATGCGTTTCAGGAGAGTAGCACTATGGCTCGCGGGTCGCCACCTTCGCCCCGTCTGCGAAAGCACGCCCAGGAGAAGCTGAACACGGTCTCGATACCGTTGAAGGTAAGTATCTTCAGGATCGGCGATGTGCTTGATGCCAGCGGCCAGCTGCACGATACATGCGAGATTTAGGGCGCATACAAAAAGGGCAGAAAAGAACTCGGCGGGCACCGGCATGGCGGCCATGTTACCAATTTCCTTAGAAGCGGCAATGGCCTTCATGGTGTGCTGGGAACAGATTGAAAGGCTGCGTGGGTGGTTGGCAATGCAAAAGATATCCTTTGCAGAAGGGACGTTGGCCGGCAGGTCGCTCCGTGGAAAGTGAATGAGAATAGGGGCCGTGTGAACAAAGCTGTGCGCCTGAAAATACAGTACATCCAAATGGCCGAGATCTTCGCTAAGCATCGCACCTCCTTCGGGCAGGTAGTGTTTCCAGCTGGCAAGAGCGTTATCCACGGCTTCCACGTCGTCTGCAGTCACCTCATCGCTGTCAGACAGTTTCAAGACTCAGCGCAGGAGCCGAATGGATTCTATACGATTGCGAAATGGCGAGAATTCGTCTACAATGGGATCTTCAGAGAAAACTCTTCGCTCCAGTTGTGCCAGCGATGGAGGATTAGGATCACGCTCGCCGCCTTGTATAATTTTGTAGCGCCAGGTAAAGCAGGAGGGACGGCGTCGGAATCGTTGATGGAAGCTGGACGGCGATGCAACGCAGCCAAGTAAGTATCGACAGTGTACAGCTCCCACCATGTCCTTCGCGTACTCTCTTCCTCCACAGTTGTGAGAGAAGCGCAGGCAGCGCTATTCGAGAACAGCTCCTGAGTAATATCTTGTGCACGCTTCAAGCATGAACCGGTCTCATCTGGACGATGAAGAGAGTGCAGGACAATTGAGCAAAGTAGAAGAGTTTGCAGGCCGGCTAAAGTAGCAGGCGCGTCCGCGAACCCAGATAGTGTCTGTATTTCGGCGTCAATCTGTCCATCGTCAGACTGACCAAGAAGGTAGAACTGACCGATCAAGCACACTACATAATCCAAGTCGTTTGGGTATTGCTGAGTACTGTAGAATGGTTGAGGGACCAGGAATGGGTGGTTCGGATGAAAGTGCGTGTAAAATGCATTGATGAAGAGAGCCTTGTCAACGCCATTACGGTAAGGGCGCTGCGGTCGCGCTGTACTGTAGTCGGTCCTACTAGCATCGCTGAAAGCTCCGCAAGTTCTCGTCATCACTAGGTGGTTGCATGTTGCTTCAGATTCGGCGCTTGCATTAGGACTGTTCGTTGGGTGACCGCCAAGCAAACAAGTTGACTCTTGCGTAAAACTGTAGGTGTCAAAGGAAATGGTGAGGGCCGGACAGCATCCCCGATGGGTTCAGTGTTGAATGCTTGAAGCCGTAAAGTACGCCGACAACGGCCCCTTCGCGATGGCGTGTATCCACATGTAAGATTGTTGGTTACACAACGGGTACATGCAGGGAGAACGCCATCGCATTTGAGATGCGACCGACGGCACTCAACGCAGGCTAACGGCGCTGGTCTGTTCATTGACCGTTTTCGATGGGATGGCGCTTGTAATAGTTCATGCGCGTCTCAGAAGAATTGTAGATATCAAAGCTAAGACTGAGTAGTAGGCTCGCGCTGAATTTATCGGGGACTCGGGGACTTCCATCGGCGTCTACTAGAAGAGAAGCCCGCAAGTTGATTAATCTCACGTACTGTAATACTTGATTTCCACTCATTCCACTACTTCCTCCACCTCCTGAAATAGGACCGACATAGAGTCATTTTGTACGGCACTTACATAGCCTGATAAATGTACCCGAGCCTTAATGAAACCGCTGAGTCCGCGTTTCTTGCAACCTTGCCAGATCAGATCCCCTTGAGGCGGCAACTCCTCGTGTCAGTCGTCGCCGCATGGAGCCGGCTTGCCCAATTTCCGGCGCCGCGCTCGTTCCTTAGACATTTCTACCCTTGGACAACTCTCATGAAGACATGCAGTCAGAAGGGTTAGAGGTTTTCGGGAACGAGAGTATCCGCAAATCAAGGGCAAGACCAATCGTCTAGACCAGCTGTCCCGCAAGGGAGTCTTTCACATCCCGTACGTAGAACCCTAGGACGGAATTTCGTAAGCACAATCTTGTTGAAGAATGCGACGTATCGACACAGGCGTGGTAAAGTTGTTGCTTAGATTCTGACTAGGCGTGGGCTAAGGACGCTTAAGTACGGCGCATGTCTCCGTAACCTTGATGCAGTCGCCGTGGAAGCGCAGGCGGCGAGAATTGCAAGGACCGTATGTGTTCGGCTTTTAGCGTTTGGGCGTGCTTGAGACGTCAAGCCAGGTCTACGAATAGTTGAAGCAGAGAAGTGTCGCCATGACACGATGCGTAGTCGTGCTGCGGATGACGGACATGGGGTAGACACATCCAGTTTGAGGATGCGATAGTGGGTTGCAACGTTGAAGGAGGTGGTGGATAAGCGGCCGGCGCCTTGTAGCCATCGTCTGAACGACTGAGGATTGATCATCGCGCGTATAATGGTAAAAATGTAAACTTGCGCGCGCAAGGACCTCCAGCAGGATGTTGTTGATAAGTCCGGGCGGTTCGGCAGCGCTAGGCAATTGGCGTACACTTTCTGGTCGCCGGAGGCGGAGCTTGGTGATGAGTCGGCGACTTGGCTGCTGTTTAATAAACAACAACAATGCCGTAGCGTAGTCTGCAAACAAGTCAAGATCGGAACTGAACCCAATTCACCTGGATGCCAGCACAATCCCCGACTGTTACCAAGAAGCTCCGGCTGGAGGCTGGTATTGAAGGCTGATGTGGCAGACGACTTGACCATCGAGCTGCAGCTCTTGACACTCGCCTTAGCAGCCGGCATCAACGACGCCAGCACCTTCCCGGACTACCGTGTCTTCGTCTCGAATCAGACTGGCAATACCGCACTTCTTGCTGTTGGCGCCCTAGGCCTCAGCAGCGAGGGTCATTACTTACCTAACATTGCCGTGAGTCTCGGAGTCTTTATTCTCGGCGGGCTCGTGTTTGGCCAGATCGGAGCTCACGTTGGCCGCCGGCGCAAGGCGTGGCTGCTGGCGACGAACGCAGTGCAAACGGCCATATTTTTTGTTGGAGTCGCACTGCGCCAATGGTTTGCGGGAAGCGAGCAGCGAGGTGCTCATGCCTGGGCTGTCATCACATTTCTCGCGTTTGCTTCGGGTGGACAAGTTGCCATGGCGCGGACAGTAGACCTGCCGCAGATTCCTACTGCCATGGTCACATCCGCCTATGTTGACATGTTGATCGACCCCGAAATTCTATCGCTCCATGACCGACCTCGCAACCGGCGCCTGTCTTTTGTGCTGTGCCTTTTGGTCGGGAGTTTTATTGGCGCTTGTACGTATGCATATGCAGATCCGACTCTAGCTCTAATCGCTGCTATCTTAAAGATGGCTGCCACTATCAGCTTTCTGTACAACAGTACGGTGGACGAAGAGATTGCTTAGAAATCAGTTGAAGATACATGTATTTGTGTATATAGCTCTAAGACGTCCTCGGGTGACTGAGAGCGTGGGGTGATAAAAGGATTGGGGGATGAAGGTGCACGTTGCGACAGGCCCAGATACTTTGGCCTTGATCAAAGCAACGCCGAAAGGGCACTGAAACTGAGATTCATCCCGCTCGAGAAGACCGTGGAGGACACCTGGGAAGAAGTTGAACGATAGGGGTTTGTTTGGAAGAAAGCATCCGCAATGACAAAGCGGGCCGTCTTCATGCAATTCGGGAACAATATGTACCTTCTAGACTCCCTAATTCAATGTCGAACAAAACATTGCCGAAGTCATCGGTCAGTGTGTTATTCAGCTAAGCGCTAGTCAAATTGGTTTGAATTTCTAACCCGAAAGGACACCAGCGAAGAGAATTGGCAAGCCTTGAATGCCGAGAGCGAGGGTTGGCTAGCGCTTCCATGGCCCCCGATGCGCCATCTTCGGCTCGATTTGAACTTCTCGGCGACGGGTTCGCCGACCACGGCCGCAGTGCACAGCTACGAAATATGATACATTCCTCGAACATATTACTTCATCGCGCCATCTCGATTTACAAGTCTTGCTCTGATTGAACAACCGCCGACAATGTCAACCCCAGATTCCTCAGCGGCTTGCGTAAGAACAACGCAAGCAGGCGAGCGTCCTTGTGAAGCCAATGAGAAGGGATGGCGACGGATCGTGCGCAACTTCACTCCGTCGTGGTTCTCCGTAAATATGGGTTTGTATTTATGATGCCCACTGCTTTTCTATCTACTGACTTGGCGGTGTGCAAGGAACCGGCATCGTTTCCATCCTTCTACACAACCTCTCATACAACGGTACATGGCTGCAATACATCTCCTACATCCTCTTCGCCCTCAACGTCCTTCTCTTCGTCTGCTTCTTCGCCATAAGCATTCTCCGCTACGCCATCTGGCCCAAGATCTGGCCCGCAATGATCCGACATCCGGCGCAGAGTCTGTTCTTGGGGACATTTCCGATGGGGTTGGCGACCATTGTGAACATGACTGTGTTTGTTTGCGTGCCAGCTTGGGGCGGTTCGTGGTGGAAAGTCGCGTGGGCTCTCTGGTGGATTGATGCCGCTCTATCAGCGGCAACGTGCCTTACTCTGCCGTTCATCATGTATTTCTGCCCTTGCTTCTTCCGCCAAGATGATGTGCAACAGGACTAACGTGGCACAGTATGTCCAAACACGAAGCAAAACTCGAGATGATGACAGCCGCCTGGTTGCTGCCGGTCGTCGCGACTATTGTAGCTTCCGCGTCCGGCGGTATCGTGGCTTCTGTCATCCCCGATCCACAGAAGGCGTTGATTACAGTCATTGTCAGCTACATTCTCTGGGGTACTGGGGTGCCACTGGCCATGTTGATTCTCGGAATCTACCTCCTTCGCCTCACAACATGCCGACTCCCACCGCGCGAAATGGTAGTCTCCACATTCCTCCCCCTTGGGCCGCTGGGTCAAGGCAGCTTCGCCGTTATGCAGCTCGGCAAAACGGCGCACGAAGTCTTCACCAAGACGCAAACACTCCCCGTCGTTGCCGGCGCGGTAGCCGGCGAGATCCTCTACGTGGCTGGGTTCTATCTGGCCATGATCATGTGGGGCTTTGGCTTGGTGTGGTTGTTCTTTGCTCTCGCGAGCATCTACACCGTCCCACGTTTTCCCTTCAACATGGGGGCCTGGGGGTTTGTCTTCCCCTTGGGCGTGTACACTGTAGCCACAGTGACACTGGGACTCGAGATCCCTTCGGCGTTCTTCAGAGTCTTGGGGACCATCTTCTCCATCGCCGTCACGCTTTTATGGATGACTGTCGGGATCATGACCCTGCAGGGAGCAATTACCAAGCAGGTTTTTGTCGCGCCGTGCCTCAGAGACGTTGAATCTGAGGAGCTCACGCTATCTGGTAAGAGGGAGAACAGCTGCAAGGAGAGTGTTTGAATGGTCGATTTAACAAAATTCCTTACTTCAACCTATCGATCTATTCTATCTTCAGACCAAGCCTACACGGGACTTTCAAGTTTCCAAGGCAGCCTCAAAACTGCCATGGACATCTATCCTCTTGGCCGAAAGAATGGTAGCGGATCTGCATCGGATCAATGCTGATTCTGGATTGTTTCATTCGGCCTTCGGTCTTGGATATTCGCAGAGGTGGAATACTCGGCGAAGGGAATTGTGGAGTTCGGCGATCCGGCAGCGCTAGCGATGCGTCAGGCTGCGCTAAAAGAGACTTTTAGCGCAGCCGCGTTTCCTGGCCGTGACTGTACTCGCCGATTGCGGGGGAATCCTCACAACCCAAAACACAGCACATGAGCACAGAATACATCTTATATCAGGACAAGTCTTGCTTCGCAATATTCTAGACAAGGTCAAACTACTCTGGCTAGCTACCCAAGGCTGAGGACATCTTCCACCGCTTGCGTTCAACACGATATACCGTTACACACCAGCATCAACGACAAAGACCGCCAATGCAGAACATGACGCCCAAATATCGCCTTGCAAAGCCAGTGACGCATCCACTGTCACACGTTCACACCATGCGCTTACAGACTCTCGTCGACACGAAGCTCAATCAACAACTCCGACGAGGCAGTACAGATCTGAGACGAGTCGTTGGACACCTGCTGGTACTCGACGTGATTGAAATTACCCGCCAAGCGTCTGCCCTCACTCCACCCGCCCCGCCGTCCACCGTGAAGGCATACAGCACGACCAATGCGGCAACTACAAAAATCGGCACTGCCTATGCCGACGCCGAGCTTTACAACGTTCCCGCCTTGGATGCACCCTCAGACGACGACACGACGAGCTCTCCAGATTGTTCAAGCGACGAGGACGATGAGGACGATGAACTGGCATTCGACGATGAGGCCGATTTCGAACACACCCTTGTCAGAGTTGCGTCACACTCGACAATGTCGGTCGGTAGGGGTAAGCTAGAATTCCTGCATTGTGCTCAACGTATATCAGAAGTGTTGATGAGGTCAAAACGTGAGGGGAGTGAGATGGTCGTGGCGAGTGTCGTGGAGATTGTGGATTTGGATGGTTGAAGCACGGGTAAGACAGGGCTTTTTGTATTGAAGGCATGAGATTACTTTGAGATTATTGAACGACATTGTGATGAGTCTTCGCTGGAAAACTGTTGAATATCGAGATACCCTTGGGCAATTCAGACTGATACAAGCTGCATACCTACTTCCAAGCCCCATCAGTCTGACAGACATGCTCCGACGAATCTACTTCTCCAACTACTCTTCTTCGAGCGTATGATGGACATAGAGATGAGCTTTCTCATCTCGATTCTGCACCGGTTCTGGGGCCGACACCTCGCTCAAACTGGCGCATTCCTCTTCGAAAGACGGATCATGATGATGGTGGTGGTGATGATGATGATGCTCGTGCTGCTCGCCATGCTGCGGCTCATTTGGAATTGCTTGATGTGGATGTCCTTCGTCCAAGTTTCGACGTGAATGCAGACCATTCTGCGACAAAGACATGGCGGGATGATATTGAGAGGGGATGATAGTAACCATATGTATTGGTAAAATCTCCACGGATCAGAAAAGGCGTCCAGAGAAGTCAGACCGCCTTATCGTTCGGTTGTAACACTATTGCGGAAGTGCAGCCTTGTGTCTGTGACTTTATAACCATTCCCGGTCCCCGACCATCAGCGGTATCGGATGGAAACGGCGAACCTAGCCCGAACCCGGCAGCTTCGGATGTGCTAATGGACTGGCCATCACTGCCGTGCGGCAGACGTCATCCACCCTTGTCGAATCTACCGCAATAGCCGGCAAGATCTTACTAATTCAAGCACAATCCGGGAAATTCAACTGTGGGACGGTGAAAGAAAAGCGCGGATAAATAGAACACAGCGAGATACCTACTAACAATGATGACTTCACTCCCTCCTCCCAGCCCACCTCCGCCATGGCGATCCAATCCATCCGCGCCTCCCAGCGTCTCGACTCCAGAGGAAAGCCTACGGTACAAGTGGACTTGAAATCTTCCCACGGCACGTTTCGCGCACTCGTTCCCTCTGGCGCATCCAAAGGGGATTATGAAGCGGTCGAACTTCGCGATGGCGATCCGTCCGCGTTCCAAGGGAATGGAGTGACCAAGGCGTGCGACAACGTCAATCGCATCCTCGGGCCCAAGGTCATCGAGAGTGGCCTGGATCCCGCGCGCGACCTGAAGAAGATCGATGAGCTCATGATCCGACTCGACGGCTCGGCGGACAAGAGCAAGCTCGGTGCCAATGCCATTCTAGCTATCAGCATGGCGGCGGCACGAGCAGGGGCAGCCGCGCAAGCAGTCGAGCTGTACGAATTCCTCGCGGGCGAGGGAGCATCCCCGGTGAATGAATACGTCATGCCGGTTCCTTTCATGAACGTCTTGAACGGCGGCGACCACAGCGGCAACCCCATGGCTTTTCAAGAATTCATGATTGCGCCCACGGGAGCCGCGAGCTTTGCCGAAGCTGTGCAGTGGAATGCTGAGACATACGCGACGCTGAAGGGCATTGTCCAAGACAAGTACGGCATGGCGGCAACCGGCCTGGGCGACGAGGGCGGCTTTGCACCTCCCATCGGCCATCCAGAGGAAGCCTTGGATCTTCTCGTTGCCGCCATTGCGAAGGCTGGCCATGAGGGGAAGATCAAGATCGGCATCGATCCCGCATCGCAATCGTTCTTTCAGAAAGACGGGTATAATCTTGGATTCAAAACGGGCAAGCCGAACATCCTGGATGCCGCGGAGTTGGGAGAGTTGTATCGTCAATTGCTGGACAAGTACCCCATTGTGCTCCTGGAAGACCCATTTGGCCAGGATGACTGGGACGCGTTTTCAAAATTCAACGAGTCCTGCGGCGTGGAGCTGGTTGGAGACGACCTGCTTGCCACCAATATCAATAGAGTCAAGGAGGCCGTCCAGAAGCATGCCTGTAACAGCATGCTCCTAAAAGTGAATCAGATAGGGACAGTGACGGAAGCAATCGCGGCGTAAGTGGCCACTTTCCCTTTTCGACAACTGAAGTCAAGGCAAGGCTAATGCAAATCATCAGAGCCCAGGAGGCGTACTCTGCAGGCTGGTCCGTCTTCGTGTCGCATCGTTCTGGAGAGACGACGGATGACTTCATTGCCGATCTGACCGTCGGTCTCCGCACGGGGCATCTCAAGTCTGGTGCACCTGCACGTGGGGAGCGAGTGGCCAAGTACAATCGCTTGATGGACATTGAAGACGACTTGCAGCTTCGGAAGGTGTCGGTTCGTTATGCGGGAGCGTCTTTCCGCTCAGCTCACCATTAGCAAATGGAAACAGTTGTGATAAACATAGACTAGAGCAGTGCGGTTCATCTCACACACCGAACTTCCTCACGGTCACATCACCGTCCACCTCCTGTTATGGCTTCTTGCGTACCGTTCTAGATCCAGCCTTGACGGGTGGTTCGGAGAGCTACAAGGCTCATGAAGAAGGCTAGTGCACCCGAGCCTCCGAAGACTTGACTGGGAGTGTTCTGAGTGTCGGTACGTGGAAAGCCGTGAAGGTGCGCGATCATGCTGACTTCCGTCGTGCGGTCGAGTAGACATTCTTGCGGGTCATGTGGAGATTACAACTCTGCCGGTCGTAGATAAAGATTTCTCTCACCGGCTCGACGAATGCAAAGACTCGCTCATCCCATGCAGAGAGGCGTTGACAATGGCGCTTCTAGCATATCAGGCCCTCGATTCTCCTGAAGCTCTGCCATCGTGTCGCTGCACAATCAACTTCCAAGGACGTCTACTATGCAAAAAGGAACTCCACAGACCGGCAACTGCAGCAGCGCGAAGCAGATGGGAGCGCGTCGAAGGGGAACTGCGAGGCACAAGCCTATCCTTTGAATTCGTCCCTTTCCGACAACGCCAGGGGCGAGAGCAAGATTCCACTCCCAGTCGAGCTCGCTCATACACACTCCAATTCGCCGACGCAGGCCTGGCAGTCGATTCCAAAGACCACGTCAACCCCTTTTCCGAAGAGGGCGTCAACGCGTTTCGTCTCCGGGTGGAGGGCGAGCAGCTGCTATGCGTCGCTCCTACAGCCGAAAAGGCTGCCATCTGGGTCGAGCAGGTTCTCGCTGCGGTAGCAATCAGTGGGCCAATTGATGAGAGGGCCATGGCTAAATATCCTTGCATCCCACCGAGAAGGCCAAAGGCGTCGAATGCGTGTGAAGAGGGCATTTCAGGGCGGTGGCTTTGGATGAGATGGTCAAGCCAGGCGCGAATGCAGTACGACTGGTTGATGGGAGTGTCGCATGGGAGTCGAAATGAAGGATTGAATCAGGACATAGAGATCGGGAAGGGACGCATGCCACATCACCCGGCGACGGCGCCGACGAAGGCTCTGGAGTGGTGGATTATCGATGCGATCGTGTCAGATCCTGACACTGGTTCCAGAATATCCAATCCAAGCGTTGCTGCGACGCAGTGTCCATGCTCAAGTTGTCAAACGCCGGAATCCTCCAAGGCGACGCGGCTTTCCTACCAGCACGGGAGCCCACCAGCTGTTAGCGACCTTCATCGCGAGCCAGTGCGATCTACCCTCGACAATCCACGTCGATGGACTCACATCTTGACCATGTCAAGCGCATGGAGGGATGGATGCTATATCAAGGATGGGCGGAAAGTTCAGATTGCTCGTCGGGCGTCGCTGAACGTACCAAAGAACCCATAATGACACTAAGTTCCATAGAACTGCACATACTTCAATCTCAACGTGTCCAGCTCGAGCGCCCACATGCTCACCGTCGTCGGCGCGCCGCAGAGACCGTTCACCATTCCTTGTAAAATGTGGCGACTAACGATGGCGGATCTGAACGAAGACATATGTAGATCGTAGCTCATGCCCAGCACACAAGACCCAGATAGATTGGCAGCAATGGTCCCGAAGGGAAGCCCTTGACCAGTTTGTTCAGGTAGACTGAGAGCTGGAATCGCAAAAGGCTGCCAAGGGGTGAAGACAGCGTCTCAAGAGTTTTGTCCATTAGGGATCCAACATTACCACCAAAACCGTGGCATGGTTGCTTGCACAGCAGCCCGAGGCCTTGAAATTCGCCGTCTCGTCTCCCAGATTTTCTGATGGTCAAGATGTCGTGTCGGGAACATTAAAGGCATCGAGCTTTGCCCAGTCAGAATTCTCTCCATCGGACTGAGTGTCAAGGAAATGCTCCAAGCTTGCATCCCAATCGATCAAATCCACAAAGGGTGCGAGCTGTGGATGAAACTCAAAGGCCGGTACGGACGAGTCCATCATATCGAGTCCTTCATTGGCGACGGAGAAAGGCTGGTTCGCAGCTGTCGAGACGGGATTCGCTGACATGGGATTGCCGATACTGCGCCGTTGTACTGTCGTGACGAATTTCTCAAAGGGATGCGGATCTTTCGCCGAACCTCCCGATTGTGAGTAGTCCGCCATTTGGATGTCGCTGTCGAAAGTCGGACCATTGCTCGCGCAGAGTTTGCGCTTCTTAGACTCCGAGTCAAGGTTTCCCGGGGGAGGATCTACTGTGGCGGCTATTGAGTCTTCGGGCGCAAATCTTTGCAAGGTCTGTGCCATCTCCGTAGATGACAGCGGCGCGACCGTGGCACCGCTCTTACTGTCGTCTTCGACGAAGCCGCGCGACTCGGCTTGCTTGATCACCGAGGCCATTGCAGACACCGCGAGGGTGAGTCGCCGTTGCTGCGCCTGGAGCGTCGCCACGTGTTCTCCTGAAATCGGGCCCATGGCCTTTGGGTGGGGGCGGGACGAAGTACACGCCAGCTGCTTACTTTGACAGCGTCCGCAAGGGACACCGCCGTCGCACTGGATGGAAATCTGTGAGCCTGAGACGAGGAGCGCGGTGTTTCGCCGCACGATGCATAGCTTTGGATCGCAATGACACGCACAGAGATGGACTGACTTTCGATTTGCTGATTCGGCATGCGTCACAGGCGTTCTGCGTTCGCACATTCGCAGGCTTGTTTGCCGCTGTCGCGGATGG